TCCTTCGGGATCATTGAGTCCAGCACTTTTATCAAGTCGGTACTAGGGGTCGTGAAGGATGTTGCACCTTTTCATTATCCCTCATGTACAGACTCAATTAATCCGAGTCTGCAATTTTCGTGTAATTTTGCTGTTTTTAATACTCCCGAGAGTTAACTTTTTTTCAAGATATTTCCAGCTTTACTGATAAAGAAAGACCTCTCCAATTAAGTTAAAGATACATTAATTATACTTAAATGTGATATTTGAAAAAAGTGATCAGCTCATTTCTACACTGTCTCAACAATAATGTAATACACACAGAGAAAAAATATTATATTTAATTTATACACACTATAGATAAACACAGTATGAATACATAGCGTCATTACAAAACAAGATCAGTGACCACATGTCGCATAAAAAGTATTAATAGGACAAAGGACATTACTCAGCCAAAAATGATTCAACCGGAAAACCCGTTGAATTTGCACAAGAACTTTCGGTACCTATCAATCCTGTAAAGTTTCATTGAAATTGCAATAGTAGTATAAGAGAATCAATCTCCCCCCCCCCCCACCCAAAAAAAGTAAATAAATAAAAATCATTAAAGGGCCGTAACTCTGACTCTGATACCTGAACAATCACTGAACCGTAAAATGCCGAATCTTTTAACAACTAGAGTTGGCATTGATCATTCATGTTAAGTGTGGATAAAAATGCAACAGTAGTTTCTTAAGGAGTAGTCCAGACCCGCTTCTGTGTAACTGGCAACACAAAAAACACTACTTTTATTCAAGGTCCATAACTCGGCCAAAAATAAATCAAGCGGAAAACCCATGTAATATGCTACCGATTAAGCTTGTAAAGTTTTATTGAAATTGCTAAAATGGTATAAGTACAGTAGTCCGAAAAACTTAAAAATATAAATCATCAAACGGCCATTACTCTGACAAAAATCATTGAATCGGAAAAAATATCGATAGACTTGGTACTTATCATTCCTGTAAAGGTTGAATAAAATTACACCAGTAGGTTTTGAGGAGTAGACCGGACAAATTTTGTGACGGACGGATAGACAACATATTTTCTTGATCAGTCATAGGGAATGCAGCTTCTTGAACATAAAAATAATATTTGTGCATTCTCTCTTATTCAAATTAGACATATTCAGTAATAATTTACTGGATTTCAATAAATTACTGCAATAAGAGAATTTTGCCCAAATATATGCATAGTATAGCTCCAATTTCAAGTTAAAAACGTCTTTCTTTACTTCATTTCTATAACAAATATAAAATCTTTGATACGTAGATCTATAATGAAATTTAAAACAAGAATGTTCAGTATTTTATAACTTCTTTATAATTAAAATCTTCGTTATTACAAGAAAATAATTTAATCAAAAACTGTAATATCTATACTAGTAAAAGCTAACTTAATAAAAACGAGTTTTAGAATGTTATTTAATCGAATTATTTTCCCAAGCAGCGTTATGTAAATCAAAAGTATCTAAATTAATTTACTAGTAACTCATAAAACATAACCTAAACTAAAAACAAGGATCAAATATTTGGAGAATTTATTAGATTGAAGTCAATATTTTTAATAAGAGCTGTCACAGGAGACAGTGAAGCTCAACTAATTAAATACTGGGCGCAGTAAAGAAAGACAAAACGATGAAAAAGTTATCAAATATGATATTAATATATTTCTGTATCGGTATCACCAAAGCACTCAAATGTTCAATATTTTTGCATCACATATGCATACGACATGTTAATAAAAGTTAAACTGACATTTTCTACTCTAATTAAAAAGACAACAATTTGAAATCTGAAGTCAATCCCTTTATTAATAAAAATGATAAGAGCAAGAAGTATATAAAGTTTTGAAAGTAAAATAAATTCATTTCAAGTTCAAAAATTAAATGGAGATAATTCTGGAAATACAGGAGTCCATCCCTTATGAAAAAAAGAAGTAAAGATAATATTATTTGGGTAAATTTAAGTTTATGGGTAATTAATTTCAGATTGTTGCCAGAGTTAAAAACTTTATCACATATGAAGTTGTTGATGATACGGACATACATTTGAAGTTTGGGGTCGATTGCTTATGAAAGAAAGAAGTTACGGTAAAAAAGATTACATTTTTTATGGAAAATTCGGGAGATAATTCTTGAATATTGCTTCTAGACCCATGTAACTTAATTAAATTTGATGTGGATGATGATAAAGAACATATATTTTTAGAGTTTGAAGTTATAAATAAAGAGATTATAGTAAAAAAATATTTTAATGCACAACAACTTAAATCTGAAATATAGACACGGACGCTACACCGACGCCAGGGTGAGTAGAACAGCTCTACATATACTTCATATAGTCAAATTAAAAAAAATAATTGTAACTAAGGTTGCAGAAGTAACTACAAAGGCACTAACTGAGGTTGCAAATGTTAATTCGAGGGCACATGTGAAAAAATACTACAAAGGCACACATTTAATCAGGGAGCAAAAGATATTACGAGAGCACATATGTTGCCAGAGACTTATAATACGAAATATAGCTCTGTTATGTAACTAAGGTTCTAAATGTAACAACAAGGGCGTATATATTACTGACGGTATAAAATTTACTACAAAGACACATATATGACCGAGGGTGCAAAAGTAACTAAAAGGTAGAAGATGTTAATAAGGGTGAAGATGTTACTGCGAGGGCACTTTTGTAACTAAGGGTGCAAATGTTACTTCAAGGGCAAATATGTTAATAAGGATGCAAATGTAACTACAAGGGCGGATATGTAACTAAGGGTGCAACTAAAACAACAATTGCACATTATATAACTAAGGGTGCAAATGTAACAACAAGGGCACATATGTAACGAAGGGCGCAAATGTAACTACATGTACAAGGGCACATATGTAACTAAAGGTGCAACTAAAACAATTTCTTCTTCTTCTTCTTGTAACTAAGGGTGTAAAAGTAAATTTCTACAAGGGCACATATGTAACTTAGGGCGCAAATGTAACTAAAAGGGCACAAATGTAACTTAGCTTGCAAAATTAATGTAACTACAAAGGCCCATATGTAAGTTATTTTGCAAATTGCACTTCAAGGGCATATATGTAACAAAAGGTTAAACTATTACTTAAAGACACATGAAACTAAGAGCAAAAGATATTACAAGAGGACATATGTTACCAGAGGATAGTGATACAAAATATAGCTCTGTTATATAACCAAGGGTGCAAAAGAAACTACAACAAAGGCACATGTGTAATTAAGGGTACACAGGTTACATCAAGGGCAAATAAATAACAATGGATGCAATTGTTATTTTTAGATTATTTATGTAACTAAGGATGCAAATGTGACTAAAATGAAACGAAGATAACTATGTGCACAAATGTAACTGCCAAGGGTTACATGCTACCTATTTTAAATTGAACTGCATGTCTCTACAGCTACATGTACTCGGGAAAGAACGACAGGGCACAAATGTAATTAAACTGAACATAATAAATTGGAAGCATATTGCAATTTCCCTACAAAAACTATTTAGCAAAACATAATGCTTTACACCTTATTTTGTCATTAAATTACACTTCTGCAAACAGTTGACATATCATTGGCTAAATGTGTTACTAATACTGTAATTTTTCTGACAAAGTAATGTTTAGAGTATGTTTTAATATTACAGTACCTTTATTGCAATTTTGACATTCAATACCTGTAAGCTCCTGCCATTCAAAATACTTTTTCAAGCGAGTGTTTCTTTTTTATCGGGTCAAATAACAAATTTATGGTTTTATTAGAGAAAAATCTTTTAATCTGTAAGGAACAGCTTAAGATAATTACTGACCTCGGCGCCGTTGATTAGACCAATTATCGTTAAATAAGTTTTCAAAAACGGGTTTAACAAAACGAAAACGAAGCACTGCTGTTCCAATAAACACTTTGTGTAAGAATTTCGCAAGTGTAATCCCCGTCCACCCTCTTTCAACCACACCAGGAGGCAAATGATTTGGCATTTTTGCAAAAATACAAATAATGTACAGGACATGGTTATGGCTCTTAGAAATAAACCAATTTTTTTTTGTAAAGTTTACAAAGGACCGTACTAGTATTTCATTCAAAATTCATGCCAGAGTAATGGGTCTTGGAAAGTAAACATTAATAATTGTAATAAAAAAATAATGAATAAAGTTTCAAGCGAATACAATCAGTAGTTTAGGTTTTTGTAAGATTAATCTGCCAAGCAAAATAGATCCAACAAATATTAATGATGCATGCAAAACTTTAACCATGAATTTTTAAAGTTCACAAATGGACATAATTTTGTCAAAATCAATGCTAATGTTATGAACCTTTGAAAATGACTTCCTATCAGTGTGTGAAATTACAAGCAAAAATCATTAGTAATTGATGAGATACGATGTTGTATGCAAAACTGTAACCAATATTATTTTAAGTTTAAAGGAATATAATTCTGTCAAAATCGATGTCAGAATAACGAACCTTTTAAAGCCTTTTAAAGAGTTCGGTGGTAATGACTCTTAAGCCATGTATTAAAAGAATACTTTCAGTAGTTTTGAAGATTTACTGACTTTGCATCTAAAAATTTAACCAATAATTTTTAAGTGCAAAAAGGGCCATCATTCTGCAAAAATCAATGCTAGAGTTAAAGGCCTTGGTGAGTGAATTCTTATTATGTTCTTAATTGTGTGTGTTACATGTAGGTTGCAAGCAAAAATATCTTAAGACATTAATGAGGTATGATGTTGCATGGAAAACTTTAACCAAAGTGTTACACCAATGTCAAAGCTGACGTCTGGATGAGTAGGATAGTCCTACTTATATTCGAATAGTCAAGCTAAAATACGTTCTGTCTGAACAGCAAACAATGCAGACCATTATCTGAGAACACTGATATTCCAGCTGTTCTTTAAATTTGCACTGATCCCGCTTGTAAATTGAGTCTCCACCAGGCTAACGATTAACAAAAAAACAAGGAAATTAGCTTGATTATAGTTTAATATCTGAAAACATGAACAATGTTTACATAATTTATTATTATTACAATATATTACTGCTGTTTTTAAATTAAATCTTATGAAAAGATATGCATCTTAAAGAGATCAGGAAAAAACATTAATTTAAATGAAATATACCACACACTACATATATCGATCATTTCGGTACAAAGCATACTGTACAAAAATTACCTGACGACATTTTTCATATTATTTCCATCAGAGTATTTTAGTAAATGAAAATTCACAACCCTTTCCACCTTATATGCATACATATCAAAAGAAATGATATTGGTGCTTTAAAACAGATTTACTTTTTACATGACTCTTATCACAGACTTTAATTACTGTAATTAAAGTCTCTGTTTTTACTCATACAGGAAAGTTAAAGTAGGCGCTTTCCAATAAATAGTTCTATTTTAAAACAATGGTCAAAGGGACACAACTGTGTTTTTTTCTCCAAATATTCTTTTCCAAGATTTGTGTACCATTTGAGGTAAGTTTGGACCAGTTACTTGTATATAAAATTTCATATCATTCACCAACTCAAAACAATTTAAGTAATCAGTGTGCAAAATAACTTTTAGATGCTTTTAACTCAAAACCGGCTAAGAGAAACGCACACAAAAGATCAACAACATTGCGAGCACTTTTTCTCATTATTTTTTTGCATATTTATCCATTTCCTATTTAAAAAAAAATTAATTTCTGTAACAATTACAAAAATCATAAATGCATCCAATCGTCTAAAAGCTGTGCTACAAAGTTGACAATATACAATGTACTTTTATCACTGTGGCTAACAAAAGTTCATGCTGAGAAATAATATTCAGAAATATGTGGAGACATTACATAACCCAAATATAAAATAACTTTAAATAACTCTTGCTTTGCTTATATATAAAAAAACACTTAAATTCGTATCAATCATTACCAAATCAAAATTTAATGTAAAAAATAAGTGTTCTTGTTACAAAAGGGAATCTAAAAGTTGTTTTCTGAAACATTTTGACAAAAAAAAGTTCCAGTAACATAAGTAGAAAGTCCAAGAATGAAATATACATGTACTACATTGTATCATAAGAAAAACCCTCAAATATACCATTTTAGACTGAGTGATCTAAATTAAACAATAATTTCAGTTGTAAAGAATACAAATATATGACTACTCCAAAAAATTATTCAATCTTTGAATATTACAAAGGATACATAGATATAAAATATCAAGCTTGAATCATGGTAAGGTCAAAAATCAACAACAAAAATTTAATCATTGATTGTAGAAAAACGACAAAAAGGAAACAAGTATGTACAACAAGATAAATATATAAATATCTATGAGATTGTTCAACAAATATGAAAAAGAAAGTAATTCATGAAGCTATATTTTTTATATGAAAATAATATAGAATAAATATCATTCTAAACATAAAATATTTGTAGCCCTACTGTGTGTGTATATATATACACACAAAATTACGTTTCTTTTGTTATAAGGGGGCCCATACTCTTAGTGCCCGAAAGGACCCTCATTAAGCCTAAATACATACATACATCTTTTCTAATTCATGTAACAGTAATTCATGTAACAGACACAGTATCACAGTTTGGTCAGACCAGTACACAACAAGCAATTATCATAGTATTGCAAGCAATCCATTTCCCATACCGGTTAGAACCCCATCAACATTCTGAAGGGCCATTGGCCATTCACTAATGTTTCAATTTTTCTCTATTTTAAGTAAATTTGTTGGAAAAGTTCTTTAAAAGTGATCACAGGAAACAGTTTTTATGAACAGACAGACAGACGGACTGAAGGACACTCTAAAGTTAATATTTGAAACATCCCTGTTACCAAAATATAACATTTTAAAAAGCAAAATTCTTAAAGAGGAGATAACTCTTGAATTAAAGATGCAATTTCATAAAAATTTCAGCTCTTTTTGACTAATCGCAAATATTGTTATATTTGCCATGTTTTAAGCCTATTTGTTGCCAAGGCAACCAATATTTTTTTCAAAATAGGAAGAACAGATAAGACATGCATAATCTACCCATATGTCAAGTTTCATAAAAATATTTCCAGTACTTTTTGAGTTATCACTGGATTCAGTTTATTTGTAAAATTTGCCATATTTTCAGTCTATGTGTTGCCATAGCAACCAGAATTTTCAACATAGGAAGAAAACAAAAAGACGTGCATAATCTCCAGACTGCCATCTACACATATTACAAGTTTCATAAAAAATATTTCTATTACTTTTTGCGTTAACACTGGATCCAGTTTATGTGTAAATATTGCCATATTTTCAGTCTATTTGTTGCCATAGCAACCAGAATTTTCAACATAGGAATAAAAGAAAAAGACGTGCATAATCTCCAGACTGCCATCTACCCATATTTCAAGTTTGATAAAAATATTTCCAGTACTTTTTGAGTTATCACTGGATCCAGTTTATGTGTAAAATTTGCCATATTTTCAGCCTATTTGTTGCCATAGCAACCAGAATTTTCAACATAGGAACAAAAGAAAAAGACGTGCATAATCTCCATACTGCCATCTATCCATATATCAAGGTTCATAAAAATATTTTCAGTACTTTTCAAGTAATCGCGGGATCCAGTTTTGTGGACGGACGGACTGACGGACTGACAGACAGACGGACGGACGGACAGACAGACGGACGGAGGGTAAACCTAAAGTCCCCTCCGGTAAACCGGTAGGGGACTAAAAAGCACTTAACCTTTACCCTGCTGAAGGCGAAAGTGATTAGTCTTTGCCACCAGTATAGAGCCAGGCCAGCCTGCACATCCGTGCAGTCTGACCAGGCTCTATACTGTTGGCTGGCCAACTTCAAATTCTCACCTTGATATACCTAAAATTGATAATGGACTGTTCCAAAATGGAAATTGGAAAAGTCCATTTAAGAAATTCAGTAGGTTAAGGGTAGTAAAGATATATTTATACTATAGAAGGGTAATCCAGTATATTTTATGTACTATAGTAATGGTTATGGTCATATGGTTACCAGTGCTTTTTACAATCTCCAGTGTGATCACCAACCCCAGTACATCTTTGTGTATTTATTTTTTTTAAATGCATTGGCATTTATAACATTTTCATAATCAGTAATTATTACTAATTAATTACTCATTTACATATATCACATATTCACACTGATTCTTCTGTAAATACAAACAAAACAGTTTTTTGTATAGTAAATATAATGTGAAAAATGTCCCATTAACTGCTCATAGGGTTTTATAAATATGTACATGTATATATAATTATACTTATTTCACACAAGTGCTCAAAAGGTTAAATAAACATGTTCAAAATTTGCATATCTATTTTTTATACAAATGTTATCACTTATATTCACAACGTTTTTGCATATATTGTGATGCTGTAAGAAGCTGTCTTAATAGCACTTCCTCTCAGAACCGGGTATCGATGCCTCAGAACCTGGTATCGATGCCAAGCCATTTTTTGATGTCCTTGTTTCAATAAAGCCCTGGAAAAAAACCGAGAAGAACAATTTAGTTATACAGCAAGGTTTTTATTATGTGCACCCTGGAACTTGAAATTCTGTCAAATAACCAGTATTAAGGATAATATCTACACCCAAGTGACGAATGCCCCCGAAAAGGTTTTTTAAGCTTGCAGGTATTATGAAAAGAAAAGAGAATGAAAGTAACTAATTGCCAAATATTATTCTTTGTATTATTGTACCTGTAATCTCTAGTTGTGATAGTGTGAACCTTCAAAATATAAGTGTGACCTTGACCTTTGAAGAAGGGACATGGTTCCTGGACCCAACAGAATGTTGTTATGAGATAGACATTTGTGCCAAGTTATCCCTCAATGCATGACAAAGTTACAGACTGGACATGATTGTTGTGTAAGTAGGGACACACGGACACGAGCCTTAGCCGCGACACATTGTCTTGATGAGATAGACATTTGTGCCAAGTTATTTTAAAATCCTTCCATGCATGACAAAGTTACACTCCGGAGAATGAATGTGTATCTTTAAACTCTTCTCGGTTCAAACTATAAGTGTGACCTTGACCTTGAAGCTAGGGACATGGGTCTTTGTCGTGACATGTCATCTTGATGTTTTCGATATTATTGTTAATACATTGTATTTGTTATTAGATAGAATTTCAAGTCTCTGTGACGTGTATACCTGAGCAATTAGTAATTCTGTTGTATAGTAATTCTACTGCATTTATACATTTTACTGCTATAGAAAACCAAACATATTATGCGAACAGTTCTGACAATTATTATTCAGCCACTTTTTTTAGCAAATGACCTTGGCCAGAGGGACGTAATTTTGTATGCAACAAAAATTTGGTGCATAAAAATAAAATAACTCACACAACAACGACACAAGTCCTAATGTAATTTAAAGTCTACAAATTAACAACAAAATATTTTTCGTGGGCTTTAAAGATTTACCTTAACACCGGCACCTACGCCATTCAAGTCCAGCAGGAATGTGTCATGACCATACACAGAGTTTAGTTCATAATATGTCACAGCTTTGTTACCTGAATATAAATAGAAATACAGGAACATGGTGACACTTTTATTCCATTAAAATAATGATTAAAAATGTGCATGTAGCCATACAGTTAGCCCAATAGGTAGAGCGTTGGACTGTGGTTCGATTCCCGGACGGTGCAGTCACTTTCATTGTGACTGATCATGAAATCCTTTCTACAGTCATTTTCACTGTACCTCTGCTCTTGTACATGCAGGAGTTTAAATTTCATGCAAAAAATGAAGACAACAAGTACTGGTAAACTGCTTGACAGCCTGCCCAGGAACAATGCGGTGGCTGAACTGTGTTCTGGTAAATTCAATGTGCCGTGATCCAGAGTAAAAACTACCAACACCACACTAGAGAAGAACAAAATGTTTTCATTTCTAAGACTCAACGTGCCTTTAAAAATCTTCCATTTTGAAAATAACCTCTCAATGCAATGCAACATGTATGAAATATGTCAGAATAAAGCCAACCTGCAGTTTGAAGAGCTGATGCAAGCTCCCTCTGTTGGGAGATTGGAAACAAAATGTCTGTCTGTACACCAATCACCATCACGGGGCAGGTCACACGTGACAGTCCCTCCTCTAATGAATTAAACCCTTCCGACACGTCAAATATGTCCATTGCCTACAATAATACATAATGACTTTACATCACCACAAAATTATAAATAGTTTTCAACTGAACATTAACCAAAGTGTGAGATTATGATGGTGAACAAAAGTGCAAAGTCTGAAAGTCATATGTCAATGGACTATATGAGGTGGAACGCAAACTTTCATGCAAATTTTAAGTCGAAAAAGGGGCATTTTCTCAAAATGCTTGATAGAGTGACCTCCCTCTGTGTACAGATTTGGGACATGATGATGAACAGAAATGCAAAGTTTTAAAGCCAGATATCAGTGGAGTATAGAATGTATTTTTTTCTTGAATTGTGAATATATATAGATTTCTTAAAGTCTTCTCATGGATGATTTACAAAGAAATTTATTAAGCATCCTGATTAAAAAGAGCTGTCCATAAGACATTGCACTTTACAAGTATTCTCAGTTCTTGAAAGTAAGAAAAGGGGCATAACTCTACTAAATCTGTAACTCAGAGTTACAGAACCTATGCCTATCATGTTAGATTATCACAGAGAACAAGTGTGTGGAGTTTTAACCCACTCCCTTCAGTAGCTTTGGAGATACCAATTTGCATGAAAAAACTTAACCAAAGTGTGACATCAATGCTGATGCCTGGGTGAATACATTATAGCTCTCCCTATTTTTTGAATAAACAAGTTAATAAATAGAGTATACTGAATGAATGTACGTTCAATACTGAATTCATGACAAGTTGAATAATATTATTTCATTCAACAAGTTCAGTAAATTCAGTAATGAACCTACACAAATTTAATATTCTATTTATCTCATAACAAAATAAGGACAATTTAAAGTGAAGAAGAATCACTTCTCCTTGACACACCTATAGTGTAATGCTAGCATTTAGCATGTCTTTACACTTTGTTTGTATATTAACACAAATGATGTAACACAAAAATATATACAATACCATATTTACTAAGTCACAAAAGCGGCATGGGTATGTGATAAATGTACTTAATGAATTCACAGAAGACCAATCATACCTTAGAGATATAAAGGAGAGAATTCGGATCAAATTTGGTGCTGAAAGTTTCCCCCTGGTACTCTATGTAACTCTCTATCACAAACGTGGGACACAGAGTGACTGGTGCCTCTTCATCAATACGGTTCCTGGCAAACCTACTGTCCCATTCTGGTCCACTTCTATATGTCATAGTGGCTAGCTCTCTGAAATTTACATTGATCAACTTGTCCCTTTAAAATATGCTAACATTTATGTGATCAATATTTGCAAATAAAAGTAAATTTTTTTCTCTCCAATTTTCCAGTCCAGTTTTCAAGTCTACGAGGCTTGGAATTTTTCTATGTTGCCAACACCTCATCTACATTAATCATAATATGAGCTGTGTCACGACAAAACCAACATAATTGGTTTGCCACCAGCATGGATTCAGACTAGCCTGCGCATCCGCGCAGTCTGATCAGGATCCATCATGTTCGCTTACAAACCCTATAACAAGTAGAGAAACTGACAGCGAACAGATGCCCAGGCTGGTCTGGATCCATGCTGGTCGCAAACGCAATACATTGGTTTTGTCTTGACGCGGCTCATATATAAGTCTTTACTTTGATAAATTTCCTAACTGTGATATAATTCTTTTTGTTGTTTTGCTTCAACTCATGAATTTTTAAATATTGGAAAATTTTGCATGACAAGTCCATAAGAAAAAAGAGAACATTTAACAAACCTATTCTAACTTTTACCTTAAACAAGAGGGCCATGATGGCCCTGAGGTTGCTCACCTGTATATAGGCCCCCCACCCCCCCCCAAACGTTGCAGGGCCAATTTTAACCAAAGGGCTTTTATTTGCACAAACTTGGTAGACACCCATAAGAAGATGTTTCATGCTAAACATCTAAGCTCTAGCTCATTGGGCTTTTTAAAAGAAGATTTTTTTAAAGTTTTTACTATACACATATAGTTAAAAACAATGACACCCCTGGGGCGGGGCCAATTTTGACCCCAGGGCTTTTATTTGAACAAACTTGGTAGACACCCATTAGAACATGTTTCATGCTAAATATCTTAGCTCTAGCTCTTTGGGTACTTTAAAAGAAGACTTTTAAGATTTTACTATACACATATAGGGAAAATCAATGACCCCCCGGGGCGGGGCCAATTTTGACCCCAGGGCTTTTATTTGAACAAACTTGGTAGACACCCATTAGAACATGTTTCATGCTAAATATCTTAGCTCTAGCTCTTTGGGTTTTTTAAAAGAAGACTTTTTAAGTTTTTACTATATGCATATAGGGAAAATCAATGACCCCCTGGGGCGGGGCCAATTTTGACCCCAGGGCTTTTATTTGAACAAACTTGGTAGACACTTATTAGAACATGTTTCATGCTAAATATCTTTGCTCTAACTCTTTGGGTTCTTTAAAAGAAGATTTTTTAAGTTTTTACTATATGCATATAGGGAAAATCAATGACCCCCCGGGGCGGGGCCAATTTTGACCCCAGGGCTTTTATTTGAACAAACTTGGTAGACACCTATTAGAACATGTTTGATGCTCAATATCTTAGCAATAGCTCTTTGAGTTCTTTAAAACAAGATTTTTTAAGTTTTTACTATATGCATATAGGGAAAATCAATGACACCCCGGGGCGGGGCCAATTTTGACCCCAGGGCTTTTATTTGAACAAACTTGGTAGACACCCATTAGAACATGTTTCATGCTAAATATCTTAGCTCTAGCTCTTTGGGTTCTTTAAAAGAAATTTTTTTAGTTTTTACTATATGCATATAGGGAAAATCAATGACCCCCTGGGGCGGGGCCAATTTTGACCCCAGGTCTTTTATTTGAACAAACTTGGTAGACACTCACTAGAAGATGTTTCATGCCAAATATCTAAGCTCTAGCTCTTATGGTTTTTTAAAAGAAGATATTTAAAGTTTTTTCTTTCGGTTGCCATGGCAACCAGAGTTCTGCATGGAATTAAATTCTTCGAACAATTTTTAAAGGTGACCACCAAAGGAACATTCCTGTGAAGTTTGGATGAAATTGGCTTAGTGGTTTATGAGGAGATGTCATTTAAAGTAAAAGTTTACGGACGGACGACGGACGGATGGACGGACGCCGGACGAAAAGCGATCACAAAAGCTCACCCTGTCACTTTGTGACAGGTGAGCTAAAAAACAAATCACAACACCTAATTTGCATGACAATAATTAAGTTAATATTTAATGACTCCAAGTTTAAAGATTATCACTGGAATTTCAAAGCAAGGGAACTAACCTCGCAAGTTTCATGCCCATCTTCGGATACTTTTTATCATAGTAATGTCCCTTGTTCCAGTTAGGATCACTCATGATACACTTCCTCTGAAGATATCTCATGGCAATAGATGATGGATGACTCCTCGCACAGGAGGATATAGAAACCATTCTGAAAAAGAGGAATACAAATTAGTGGACATTAAAGCTGCATGGCTCCAGATGAGCCAAAATATTTCAAGAAAATTAAACTTGAGAAAAATGTACAAAGATTTTAAGAAAAGTAAATATATTCAAGATTGGAGTAATAATTTACATGTTATGTTGGAATTATGACTGACTTTGCAGTATTTATTCATCATATTTAAACTGTGTGACTTATGCAGTAAGGGGTACTTTGGCTACTTATAAGAAATTTACTTGGCGACTTTCCAGCTTATAGTGGAGGAAGATCTCAGGTGACCCTCTGTGCATTATTTCAGTCACAAATAGGCACTAAAGCAGAACCACTGACGTTCTTTAAGCTACCTGGATAGCTTTCTCACATGAAGGAATGTCATGTCACTGACAGTATTCGATTCCACAGCACAAGGGAGCAGGTGCCTTGCAGTCAATGTTTGTTACCACTCAGCCATGGACACCCCATATTTTCTAAAATGCTGAACTATCATATGATATCCCTTGTATTAGCAATCATATACAGCAAATGTTGAGGTTTACCAGTCTGGACACTTAGAGTTTGACCAGATTCTTTTATTGATGATGCCTCAATGACCATATAAAAGGGAAGTAAATTCCACTGGATTTATAATAGGCAGTTACAATTTCAAAGATGGACTAATCCATTATACAAAATCAGCACAAAAATATTCAAGTAACTTCAAAATACCTGCCCACCCTGTCTGGGTACATAGCTGCTGCCATTAGAGAGCACATTCCACCGAGTGAAGAGCCCACACTGGCGTGTAACTGGAATAAAATACATATAAAAAAATTTGCATCTCTTGCCATTGAATGTTCACCCAACCATGTACATGTTGTACACTAAACCATTGATTGAATTTATCACCATTGATTCTGCAGCACTGTTGTCATGGTAACATCAAATTCCTGTAAAAGAAATATATCTTGGCCTTCAGTTGCACACTTTATGTCACAGAAAAATATTTTTTAAAATTCCTGAAAAAAAATCTACAAGGTCATTTCCATGGTTACCAAATTTTTTTCCTAATGTTTGGTTGATGAAACTGCAAGTTCAGGGCCAAGCCAGCTTGCACAAAATAATAGCCACAAACTCGATCTTTACTGACAGTTTATTATTCTTTTTAAGGTTTGTATTTTGAAATTCCTAAAAAAAAGTTTTAAAGGTTTTTTTTATAGTTTTTTTTGTTTTTTTTAAATAAAGGGACTGTAAATATTATTCGATAATGTTTGTACCATTTGATGTAGGTCTGGACCAGTAACTTGTGTGCAAATTTTCAGATCATTCCTTCACTGTTTTTCAAGAATAATATTTATTTTTATTGTGCAAAATGACCCAAAATGAAAAGTGTTGCCTGAATTGGGCTAAGAATCACACAAAAATTGAAATTCAATTTATTTTTGAGTATATATCTTTATTACCTTTTGAAGAGTTTTCCCAATTTTAAGTTCTTATCATGATCTATGCAAGAATTTCTAATTTTATGTTTTTAGGCTCTTTGACCTCTGTGGAGCTCCTTTAATACTGTATGCTTCCAATCCAATACAGTGTAGGTAATTTATTACGATTAAAATTTACAATGGCGTTTTTCCATTTGTTATCTTGACAGGCTGATAAAAGCAAGACACAGCAGTAAAAGGGTTTTATTGTGATCATAAATTACCATTGCACTTAAGTTAGTGGTTGAAATTATACTTTGTCCAAATAGATTGTTCAATGTTTAAAATAAATAGAATTCTTTGAAATATTTAATACATTTAATCAGTACTTAATTTATCATTAAATAATATCCTGTTATATCAGCATATCAAGCTCGCATGGTGTAACAATTCAAAACATAATTTCAACCACTAAGTAAGTAAGTGTTTGTTAAGTCATCATTAATTCCTTTAAATTACTTGACCAGCTATGCCACTCTTGACAGATTTAATTTCATTTCTGCGGACTAACCAACAGTAACCTATAATACATAATGTTATACCAACATAGAATGACTACCTGACTTCTAGTAATTATTACAAGCCTGCTGTTTGGATATTTCAACAAAGTTCTCCAAATTTACATGAATTATGTGTGCAAACACAAATTTCAAAAATTGAAAAAAGCAAAACCTAGAATTTGTGAGTTAACTACAAAACTGTTGTAAGTCCTATTTTATTTCATATAAGTTACTGCAGTTTTGCAGTCAACCCTCTACTGATATACAAGTGGTTTATGATTTGTCATGCAAGCTGCTGATGTAATGTACAGGAAAATTATTAATAATAGCCAGATGTGATGTGATAAGGGATTATATTTATCTTGATCAGGCTACAAAAGTACATGTATATTTTTCTATTTCAGGCTACATAAATGGCCGTCTCTTACAGAAAAGTTGGTTATAGTTTTCATGTTTATTGTAAACATTAAAATCTACTCAAAACAGAAAAACAATATTTTTAAAGCTGAAGTTTTAATCTTTAAGAATTTTTACATGTACCTGTGAATATCATTTTTTTTCCTATCATTTTTTTTTCAGTATTGCATACAAGTAAATCAAATGGCACAAATTGTATTATAATAAAATTTAAAAAAAAATTGTTTTAGTAGCTGATGATATACATTATTTTCATACTCTTAAAAACATATCTCAAAATAGTTTTTATCAATAGGTTAATCTTATTCAATTGATATAAATACTTTAAGCTACATTGGTAATAATATCAAATTTCCTAACAATATCCTATTGTATTATTCATTTTATATTTTTAAGTGGGATTAATAAGTAATGATTTCATATATAAACAACCTGCTTTCAATGAAGTTTTCTTACACCATTCTTCCAATTCAAATACTTTAATGCTACTATTTTTATAACCATACAAACAAACGTTCAGTGGATTAATGACAACTGAATATAGTGTTATATGCTTAATCCTCTTAAAGTTAGAAGTATTATTGTACATTAAAGGAACTCCACTGAGGTCAAAAGTCCAAAAACGTAAAATCTGAATTTCTTACATTAGGTCTGCTGAGCTACTTTGAACAGAAAGATAATTAAAAGATACATGTAATTGAGAAAAAAAAAAACAAAAAAAACTAAGAAGTGAATTTAAAATCTAATATTTGTGCTATTCTTAACTTAATTTGAGTAAAAAGCGCTGCAATGCTTTTCAGTTTTGCGCCAATTTTCATAATTAGAATGATTATTCTGGTAAGTTATTCTGGTAAGTTATTAGTCTATACCTAAATCAAATCAAACATTAATCTCGAAAAAACTAATTTCCAGGCAAATCACGTCAAAAAAGCTCAGTGGAGTCCCTTTAATCTAAAAAAAACAATTTCAAGTACTGTCACATAAAAAAACCTCAGTGGAGTCCCTTTTGATCTAGAAATTTTTTTTCAAGTACTGTCACATAAAAAACCTCAGTGGAGTCCCTTTAATCTAGAAAAATTATTTCCAAAACCAAACCCTCAGTGGAGTCCCTTTAATAGTGTATTTGCCTTGGCCATGTTTAATAATTACAGTTACATGAACATCATATTAACTGTAAAAGATGGATGTTTATTTTTAGCCCATGTATATAAATGTTTAAAATACAAATTATAAAATGGAAGAAAATGAAAAAAATCAAGATAAAATGATTTCTTCCAAACATCATATCAAAAAATATCAAATACAATCAGAAGTCAACAAATCAAGTAAATCATTTTCAATCCCTTTAACAGGAACACATGGTTGGCAAACCAATGTCAAAGTCAGAGGGACGGGTATATTTGTCTTGTAAAAGAGATAGCCGTGTGAGTGGCACAGGTAATCCTATTTTATTGTGAAAAGATCTGAGTGTGAGTGGCATGGGTGTACCTGTCTTGTTAAGGAAAAGATCTGAGTGTGAGTAGCACGAGTATACTCGTCTTGATGGGGAAAAGATCTGAGTGTGAGTGGCATGGGTGTGCCTGTCTTGTTTGGGAAAAGATCTGAGTGTGAGTGGCATGGGTATACTCGTCTTAATGGGGAAAAGATCTGAGTGTGAGTGGCATGGGTGTGCCTGTCTTGTTTGGGAAAAGATCTGAGTGTGAGTGGCATGGGTATACTCGTCTTAATGGGGAAAAGATCTGAGTGTGAGTGGCATGGGTGTGCCTGTCTTGTTTGGGAAAAGATCTGAGTGTGAGTGGCATGGGTATACTCGTCTTAATGGGGAAAAGATCTGAGTGTGAGTGGCATGGGTGTGCCTGTCTTGTTTGGGAAAAGATCTGAGTGTGAGTGGCATGGGTATACTCGTCTTGATGGGGAAAAGATCTGAGTGTGAGTGGCATGGGTGTGCCTGTCTTGTTTGGGAAAAGATCTGAGTGTGAGTGGCATGGGTATACTCATCTTGTTGGGGAAAAGATCTGAGTGTGAGTAGCATGAGTATACTTGTCTTGTTTGGGAAAAGATCTGAGTGTGAGTGGCATGAGTATACTCGTCTTGTTGGGGAAAAGATCTGAGTCTGAGTGGCACCAGTTTACTCGTCTAAATGGGGAAAGGATGCAGTGAGAGTGGCACTGGTATACTCGTCTTGTTTGGGAAAAGATCCGAGTGTGAGTGGCACCAGTTTACTCGTCTAAATGGGGAAAGGATGCAGTGTGAGTGGCACTGGTATACTCGTCTTGTTTGGGAAAAGATCCGAGTGTGAGTGGCACCAGTTTACTCGTCTAAATGGGGAAAGGATGCAGTGTGAGTGGCATGGGTATACTTGTCTTGTTGGGGAAAAGATGCAGTGTGAGTGGCACTGGTATTCCTGTCTAGTTGGGGAAACATAACAGAGTACCATGTTAGTGGAATGGGTACCTGGTTTGTAGGCAAAAAACAAATGGAACTGTGACATGTATTGTACGATGCCCATCTTGTAGATGGCAATCATGACAGGGAAGGGTATCATCATGCTGTAGGCAACAAAACAGTTTAAACTAACTTGACTTGTAATCAAACTCAATGATACTAACCTTGTCTATTCCAAGATGATCCAGTAATTTAAACTGTGCGTTGACCATGTCCTGTACACTTATAACTGGGAAAGTCGTTGCATATTTCTGAAAAGGAAAAGTGAAGATTTGATATATCAAGAATCAATTTGGATGAAAGTGAACCAAATTATTTAGAAATTGGAAAGGTATCATAAATTTCTAACCTAAAAAATTAATATTGAAAAGTGCTTGAATGTAGTTTTTTCATGGCATTTGCATTATTTGACAAAAGATTGTGGCATTTTAGAAATCAAATATGGCCGCTACAGAAAGCAAATTGACATGTCACTTAAATGCAAACAATAATTTTACATTTTGGTTAAGTAACAAAATTTAATAGACATCAAAAATTTCAAATGGGATTAATATATCTTATTATGTTATAGATTTTAAATCGATCCTGCTACACTTTCTACTATCTTTGTAAATTTTTGCATGACTGTTAAAAATATTTCAGCTACAATTTCCAGAATCATTGTTAATATTGCATAGTTGTCAAAAATATGTTGTTTTTCTTCTCTTTTTTCCTGTTCAAATATTTCATCTATATATCTATATGATGCACATTACTAAAATGATATTTGAAACAAGAATGTGTTTGTTAAACACAAATGCCCCCTGCTCCGATTCTTGTCAGTAGCAATATTTCAAAAAATGTTTACCCATTCACTCAGTTATGGACAGAAACATTGCAAAAAATTGTAAACACAAGTTATATAGCTTGACAGAGTCATGGCATTTTGTAATTGTGAAATATATAAGTTGCCAAGTCATTGCTATGACTTGTGAAGTGATAAATATTCAACTTTATCAAATATATATAAATGTAAGAAATCTATACTTGGCACCCTTGACCTTGACCCACTGACACCTATAGACTATCATGCAAGTTATCTTCCTACCAAATATGAAATACACCTGTCAATAAATAAAGGCTGTATGGGCAAAAATGCTAAAATCTATTTTGAGCATTGATGACCTTGACCAAACTGACCCCTAACTCCATCCAAAGGAAGAATACCATGCAAGTTATCTTCCTACCAAATATGAAATAAATCTGTCAATAAATAAAGGCTGTATGGACAAAAGTGTAAAAATCTATTTTTAGCACTTGTGACCTTGACCCAACTGACCCCTAACTCCATCCAAAGTAAGAATAACATGCAAGTTATCTTCCTACCAAATATGAAATATATCTGTCAACAAATAAAGGCTGTATGGGCAAAAGTGTAAAAATCTATTTTTAGCACTAGTGACCTTGACACACTGATCCCTAACTCAAGCAAAAGGAAGAATACCATGCAAGTTATATTCCTATCAAATATGAAATACACCTGTCAATAAATAAAGCCTGTATGGGCAAAAGTGTAAAAATCTATTTTTAGCACAAGTGACCTTGACCCACTGATCCCTACCCCAATCAAAAGGATGAATACCATGCAAGTTATCTTCCTACCAAATATGAAATATATCTGTCAATAAATAAAGGCTGTATGAGCAAAAGTGTAAAAATCTATTTCTAGCACTGGTGACCTGGACCCAACTGACCACTGACTCCATCAAATTTTATGTTCCTATCAATTATAAATGACACCTGTCTATAGAATATGGTAAATACACCTGTAAAAATGTAAAAATCTATTTTTAACATTGATGACCTTGACATTGGTGACATTGACCTTGACCCAAATGACCCCTTACTACACCCAAAGAAGGAGGACCTTCCTTGGCATGTTTGTATTAAACATGAAAGACATCAACCCAGAAATAAAGGCTGTATGAGCAAAAATGTTTAAATTTATTTTCTAAACCAGTGACCTTGACCTTGACCCTAGAGACCACTTACTCCACAAAAAATTAGAGGACCATTTAAGGTATCCACCTACCAAATATGCAAGATATCATTAAATAAATTAAGCAATTAGGAGAAATTTACGATAAATCCAACTTGCCGGAATAGGTTAACCAGACAAGGCCCTATTTTCAAAGTGAAAAAAGGGAAATAACTGAGAAATATGGATGACACAGTTATATAACTTGGCGATATCATGTACTTTTTATTGATAAGAAAGTGTGGAAATTATGAAGCCATTAGTATAGATAGAACTTAAGATATTTCCAACTTGCCGTTTTAGGTTAACCATAATATTCATTTTTTAAGTGCTGAAAAGGGCAATAACTTGGTAAATATGAAAGCCATAGTTATGTAACTTGACCAGATCATGTACTTTGTATTGATTAGTAAGTGTGTAAACTAAGAAGCCATTGGTACAGGTAGAACTTAAGAAAAATCCAACTTGCCGTTTTAGGTTAACCTCGTACGGACAGACGGACGGACGGTTCAATTACTATATGCCCGGAGGCATAAAAAAGGGACTTAATCAAATTCACATTATAATTTAGTAATGTATACATCTTTATTTATGTATGTACCTTGTCAGTGACAGGATTTATTGCAGTTGGTCCTCTGTAAAATGTAAGACATTATAAATAAAGCATTATTAAACAAATGAAATTATTCAGTAATCTGTTTTATATACAGAGATATTGAAAGAGTGATGGTTCAATATGGAAATTTAAACAAGTTCAGTACTTTAATAGGTTTTTTCATGAAAAAAAGTATGAATCTGAATTATAATGCTTTAACTAACAAGCTTAACGTATATACATGTACTATGTTTGTTTATCACATGATACCCGTTACCGCTTTAACGACTCTGTGAAATAGGTCATGCACAGTCGTGCATGTATTTTGACATGACATCAATTTTCTAAGAAAAACATACATGTAGTGTAAAGACGCGCTGAATGTTAGCATCACACAAGAGTGCGTCAATGAAAAAGGGATTCTTTTTACCATAATCAGTTCTTATTTTGAATATGTGATAAATAGAACATTATATTCGTGTAGCTTCATAGTACTTAATCTATTGAACTTGCTAAATAAAATAATATAATTTTATTCCACTTGTTCAATAAATTCAGTATTGAGCCTATACTCACTCAATATCCTCTTAATGCATATGTCACATTATATATACTTTGATTATATATGAAGAGAATCTGTTAGCATTATAAACACTTTATTTTTCCATAATATCATAGCATACTAGTAATTTATTCATAAAAGTGATTTTCAGTTTTTCAATGAAATAATGCACAAAAAATATAACTAAGTAAAATTTACTTTAATTTCTAATAACATAATCATTATCATAATCAAAACCATGTAGCATATACATAACAGTGACTTACGAAGAGCCGTAGCATCCTCCAAGGGTGTTGGTGCATATAACAAAGAAATCATCAGTATCTACTGCACGTCCTGGTCCAACAAACTTCTCCCACCAGCCAGGGTTTGGATTATCCTGTATAAAAAAAAGATTTATACCATTTATATCATGTATAATAGAATACATTTTCATAACTGATATTCACACATCTTTCTTCACTACAGATAGCAACAATTACTCTGTAAAGAAAGTGTATCAAATATATATAATAATTCCTAAGAATGGTAAATTTGAACCTATATAAAATATAGTAAACATAAAATAAAGTTTACATGATTCATAATACGTTTTCATGTAGCTAGAAAATCACTTTTACCAAAGTTAATTCTATAAACGCACGAGTGCAAAATGTTTTTTCTTCAAGTAATTTATTTTTCATTAATTATTGAGTACCAATAGAAACTTAAGAGGGTATCCTTGAAGGCGAGAGTAAAGACAGTGTAAGCGTTAAAGCTCAAAATACGTCTTTTTAATTAGGAAATAACTACCAGTGAATTCTGAGTGAATAATGCACGGTTTTAGTTCAAATGCTTAGTAATATAATCGTGATTAATTACAAAGGTATTTGAATGAAAAACTGTGCATTATTATACTATAATTCATGAAGAATTAATATCTATTTCCATTCTTACATGTCAAGAAAAAAATAATATAGTTGGACTTTATGTTTGGTGGTTAAATTTGTTTACGCCTCAGAGTTTCCAATAGAAACATTCTTTAAAAGCTGCTCCAGGTGACTAAAAAAACTGTTGTTAACTAAAGTCTACCTTTTGCAGGAGCATTTTAAAAATAATGAGTTTTGAAAACGTTGAAAGAATTTTTGTGTGTTTATTTTATTTCCCTTTATATTTTTCAAGCGGAATACACAGTATTTATATCGAAATGAATGTGAAATTTAACTGGTTTTCGACATTGAAATAACGTTCTTGTTTTGACTGTTTTGCACATAAATTCTAGATAGTTTTCAGAACAAAATTCAACAAAAAGTTGTTTTTCATTAATCAGATTTTCAAACAAAATGGCAACATTAATGTGTCTGATTGAGAACACAGAGGGAGGAAATAAGAATGGCGAGTGCATTGTTGTAGAATAACGCATGCTTCCAGCCTTTTTTGTTTGTATGGAAAATTTTTTGATAGTGTTAGACTGAATATATAACGCATGTACCTTATGACTTTTAGCATGACTACTGGCAGACAGTCCGGCATGTACGATCACAGCATTGCTTTTGTCCTCATTTAGTTCTCCCCACGTCTCGTACGCCACTGTAAGTTCCGGTAAGACGGCGTTATTGTATGTCAGCTTGAACGGTTCATCTGTCGTATATGTTTTATAACCGGACATGATCTTGTCATATTGAGGCTCTGGACCGGTGTTTTTGCTGAAAAAATATATATGAGTCGCGTCAAGACAAAACCAACAGAGTGCGTTTGCGACCAGCATGGATCCAGACCAGCCAGCGCATCCGCGAGAGTCTGATCAGGATCCATGCTGTTCGCTATCAGTTTCTCTACTTAATGTAAGAGGGTTGGTAAGAAAACAGCATGGATCCTGATCAGACTGAGCAGATGCACAGGCTGGTCTGGATCCATGCTGGTTGCAAACCCATTATGTTGGTTTTGCCATGGCACGGCTCATATATTGATAATGTTTTTACAATATTTAAAAGTCATGTTATACATGTACGTTATACCCCTCTAAATAACTATGAATAAGCAAACCAACCTTTTTTAATATAAGGACAGCCACCTTAAGATAACTATAAGCACACCCACCTAAATAACTATAAACACAGATAAACAGCTTCAAGGAACTGATGTTTTGGCTCAGTTGTCTACAGTATTGTGCTTCTAAGACAATGGTAGTAGGTTGGATTCCAACATGGGATAGATTTTTTTTTTTTGATTTGCCTCTTTTGTGTTTAACTTACTTGAATTGTTTATAAGGCTGTGTTGGAATGTCTGTACCAGAGTTGATTACATTGTGTTCAATTGTTTAAAGCCAATATATTTTCTAGATCAGAACAAAAACTATAGCAGCCAACAAAATGTTTAGGGGTTTGCAAAGCTTCATATGCCAGCCAGACTACTGTATCAGATGTAACCTTTCTTTTTTAGAGCTATAGGGAAATGAAAGCTTATTAAAGGTTCGAGGACCAGAAGTCTCACAGAAAGTTGGCATAATGACCTTTACAGAGTTGATATGAACCAGAGTACCTTAAAACCCAACAAAAGACATATTTAACTAAACTTTTTGGCCTTTGATATCTATATAATTATAATCATTCTTTATCATCAAAGGCTTTTCTCTTACATCATTAAGAGATTTAAAATGACTGATAATTTTTATCTTTCCAGTCATTACGTCTGGTAAATAATTAGGACACGATTTAAATTTCCTTAATTCATTTGTGGGAACATACACTAAGATGACTGTACTGTGTTAATCTCTCCACTGATCTTATCAATATAAATGTAGTACAGTCACACTTAATTTCCTTATAATAATATTAATCTAGTTTTTGGCTTCTTAACAATCAGATGACTTACAAAGATAAAATTCTTTCTGACCTTATTAAGATTAAAATGTCAAAAGTTGAAAATAAAACCTATATTTACAGCTAATTAAGGATCGAGCTGAAAGCCAGGCTTGCCACACAGTCATGAAGTCTGACCAGGTGCTGGTGTACAGATCACGGCAGTATAAGCCACAATGAATTTATCAGAGTACAGATCAGCCACGGCATGGTTCCTGGGCAGACTGTCAAGCAGTTAACCAGACTACTAGCTGCCTTCACTTTCACAAGGAACTGATATGAGTAATGTACATGCCAGAGCAGAGGTACAGTGTGAATGACTGTAGAAAGGATATCATGATCAATCACAATGAAAGAGGTCATCTGGGAATCGAACCTGAGTCGCCAGATGCACAGTCTCTCTACCTATTGATCAATCACAACGAAAGTGGCCATCTGGGAATCGAACCCAAGCCACCTGATGCACAGTCCAACTCTCTACCTATTAGGCTAATCAGATGGTACTCAGGCCTGGAGCCTATCATGCAGTCTGACCAGGCTTTATACTGTTGACAAATAAATATGAAATTTTCATCTTGATATACCAAAAACTGATAATGGTCTGTTCTAAACATGGAAGCTGGGCAGGTCCATTTGAGCTGCGCCATGACAAAACCAACATTGTGTGTTTGCAACCAGCATGGATCATGCTGTTCGCTTACAAACCCTATTACAAGTAGAGAAACTGATAGCGAACAGCATGGATCCTGATCAGACAGCGCAAATACTCAGGCTGGTCTGGATCCATGCTAGTCGCAAACCCATTATGTTGGTTTTGTTATGTGGCGCGGCTCATTTAATAAATTCAGAAGGTTAAGGAAATACTTTCTATTTCATTATAGTTTTCCTATCTCTTTCATGGCACAATTCAAATGACAATAATTATTGTACCTTATACAGTTCTGGCCTCACAAACATAATTCATCGGCTCATTTTTACATTTGTTAAATTCATTTTATTTAGCATGTTTAGTAGATCCTTCAAGTTAATGTGACATATATATAGGGTATTTGAAACTTGAGAAGTTGACGGAAATAGTTTTTGTTGTTTGTTTTTTGCACTAATAAAATACAGGCTAATAAATATTTAAGGCAAGCTGAGACTCAAATGATAAAGCTATTGATGATTTTCCCTCAGCCAGCTAAATTTCAGGTGGCTTTTCATATTACTAATACATTTATAATATAATCATGAATACCATCATCAGAAAACATATGAAACGAATGTTTAAATTTATTATTTAAACATTACACTGTAAAATTTCTCAATTTGAAGGGCATATATGCTTGTGCTGGGCAAAGAATAAAAGTATTATAAATTAATAACTATCACTGCTGGTATTTCATATTACCGTAAAATTCCTAATAAACGCCCCTCCCCTAATAAAGGCCCCCCCAGGCCTTTTGATAAGAAAAACAATCTACTCATCAGTGCTGAACTCATGAATAAATCCATAATTTCATTCAAATCATTCAGAATCCATTTTATTTTATAGTATGAACTTTAAAATCTTAACACTTAATTCTTAATGTTATTACCAACACTTGCTAACAGTAAATGTATTTACAATGATTTTTGGATTTAGGAAAAACTGTATTGTAATAATAGCCCCCCTTTTGGAAAATGTTTAGCCCCCGGGGGCGTTTAATAGGAATTTTAAGGTATACTAGTTTTTGGTTGACTGGTCATGCAGCTAATATTTCTTTAACTTAAAACAGCTATACAGAAATATACAAAAAAAAAATCATTTTGTAACTGACTGAGAAATCTAATTTCGTAAATATTTATAGGGTTAGCAAAATAAAAATATGCTGCTATAGCAAATGTATGAGGTCTTCACAAAAAATATCACATATTTGTAGCTGTATTAGTAAAAATGGAATCAAAATAAATTGCTTAAAAAATGCTATTTTATTGTATTTTTTACACTTCCAAAGCCTTTATATGCATGAGATCAATTGAGAGGTACAGGTTGCTGACTTCAAATTTGAGTTCCCCCTATTTACTGCTGTGGGTCCAGAACTTTAGGCTCTTTCATGACTGAGGAAGTTATCCAGTCAGCTGATGAAAGATCAGTGGTTCTACACACACTGCCGGCATGTGCCTTAAATAATGCACAAGGGGCATCCGAGGTCTTCCTGAGGTGGAAAGTCGCCATATTACCTTTACAGAGTCTTTTGGTTGGGATTTACATCACACCAACACAATATCGGTCATATGGACCTTCCCAGCTTTACTGGTAGAGGAAGACCTCTGCTGGATAGCTTTCTCACATGTAGAAATTAACGACGCATGCTCAGCTTGAACCTACAGTGATGAGAGGCAAGTGGTTTGAAGTCAATGACCTTAATCACTCTTCCACAGATGCCCCCTTTTACAGTGTCAATGCAACTTAAAATCCAACAAAACAAACAAACAATTTAACAGTGTGGCCTAAATCATAAAATTCATATACCGGTACAATAAATTTTATGTAAATATAAAAAATTCCCATTCAAAAGAAAACTAGGACATACTGGCATGAAATATTTGTTCATGGATAGTAAGAGTGAAATGTCAGTATATAAACCAGGTCATTGAGATTATATTAGTGACTTGTCACACTGACTCAGTGAATACCATGTAGTTTAAAAGTACTGTGTATTAATTTCTTTATCAATGAAAAATTAATTTTTAAAGTTTAAAAGCTAGAATGATTAAATATTGCAACAATATTAGACTTTCAAAATTGAACCCCTCACCCCTACCACACTAACTACATGTGTATTAAATGGACAATGACCATCTTTCAATCATTATACATAATATCATCATTAATTATATTTACAGACATAAAAGGTTTTTAAAGGAAATAAATCAACATAAATATCTAATGACTTAGATTGCGACCTTAGGCAGACCATGATCAAATGGCAGTGTCAGATGTTCACATGTACGTGATTTTCTCTTTCACTCAACAAACTTTATATCTAAAGTGCCGCTCAAAGCTAAATTTTTAAATTGCAACTCTTTAAAAAAAAACCAATGAACTAAGTAAACAGAATCTTCAGTGGGCGTTAAATAATTTTTACATTTTAGTTATATTTTGTTAAGGTTTAGAACTTTTTTCACTGTTGAGGGGAGAAAATGTGTAAGTGGCGGGATAGCTCAGTTGGTTGAGCTGTGAATCAGTATTCTGAGGGTACTGGGTCCGAATCTCAGTCAGACTGCAAATTTTTCTCACCCTATGACAGATAAGTTAAGATATTGGGAGATATTCACACTTGATAATGTTGATGAACCTTTGACACACTCGTACTAGTTAAACTGACATCGTAAATCTAGGACATATACAACTTTTATCAAAATTTAGTACGTTCAAATCAATGAACTCAGACTAGTACTATAGCATATAATAGTAGCTTATTATCAAATAACGTAGAAGTTAAATCTTAAATAGGCAATCAATTTTGGAGCCAAAATTATAACAATGCAGCAATAACCATTTACAAAATTTACCTTTAACGCACTTATTCTGTATGAATTGAACGTGACTTTTGAGGGTTAGTGGGAAACTATGTCAAACTGAAGACTGCCATTTACGACCCAAGTGATTGTTGGATGACTTTCAAAATGCTCTAGGTTTGCAATGTAATTATGTTACATTATATGAGTGTAAAACTAAAACTAAAACTACACATTGTGGGTGTTGCTAAAAATCTGAACAATTTAATAAAATATGTCAAAAAAATTTAAAGCAATTTTGTTTGACAAGCAATGATATTCTAATTATTATTATTCTGTTTGAACTTCAATTTAAAAAAAAAAAAAAAAAAAACTCCAAAAAAACCCCAAAAACACTGCACATACATACATTATAATATTGCTGTAATGAAATTCTTAATACCAAAAATATTCAGCTTTTCCAAAACTTTTATCAAGTTTTTTTTTAAACTTTATACAATAAAGCCACTTTAAAGCACTAAAAATAAATTAAAAATGACAAAGCCACTTTAAAGCACTAAAGATAAATTAAAAATGACAAAGCCACTTTAAAGCACTAAAGATAAATTAAAAATGACAAAGCCACTTTAAAGAACTAAAGATAAATTAAAAATGACAAAGCCACTTTAAAGCACTAAAGATAAATTAAAAATGACAAAGCCACTTTAAAGAACTAAAGATAAATTAAAAATGACAAAGCCACTTTAAAGCACTAAAGATAAATTAAAAATGACAAAGCCACTTTAAAGCACTAAAGATAAATTAAAAATGACAAAGCCACTTTAAAGCACTAAAGATACAATGTAAATTAAAAATGACAAAGCCACTTTAAAGAACTAAAGAAAAATTTAAAATGACAAAGCACTAAAGATAAATTAAAAATGACAAAGCCACTTTAAAGCACTAAAAATAAATTAAAAATAACAAAGCCACTTTAAAGAACTAAAGATAAATTAAAAATGACAAAGCCACTTTAAAAAACTTAAAATAAATAATATTGGTAAATGACATAATTAGCCACTTACAAACACTTAAAATAAACTATAAATGACACACTTAAAATAAACTATAAGATTTTAGACATTTAAAATAAACTACCGTACTGTATAACTGACAAAGCTACTTTAAAACACTTACAAAGAATGATGTAAATATAAATGATCAAATAACAGAAAGTGAAACTTACTTCCTTGTTAAACAGGGAAAGTCTGTTTCCAACCCTCTGAACGTGAGCAACTCATCTCGCTTGATTTCCGGAACTTTAAGCTGCGGCAAGTCTATTTCAAACGCTTTCTTCGGCTCCTGACGTAAGATCGATAATGTTGACGTATGTAAACGTCTCTCCTCGGTGTTCTTATTTATGCAGAAGAAAGCGGGCAGCTGTTCTAAAAGGATATTCTTCCGCCCTAAAGCTCGAACAAATGTCCTGAATTTCGTGGCTGGTTGAAACATTCTGTTTTCAGAAATCCTATTTAAGGCACAACTTTTACAGATAGGCACAACCTTCAACATTGAAATACGTGTTTTTTTCTTCTGAAATCAAACAAAAATAAAAAAAACTACTTTCAATGCAATTTTATGGATATATTATACCAGCTTATAAGTAATCTCAAGTTTGCCTAATCGCAATAATGCAAAGTGCATATTATAAAATTTTTTCGGCTAAAAATTGTTTTCGTGACTGAAAAATGATGTTAAAATTTTTACAAACATTATTAAAAAATATATAACCTTTTTGCTTTGTTTTCCCAATATAGCCTTTAATAGGGCCCAAAACAATACATTTGGTTTAGGGAAATAACACCCTTTTGATTCTCCATTTAAATTTTCAAAAAAAGCTATATAATAATGAAATACTTTTATAAAAAATAATGTATAAAAGGTAAAAATTAGGCTGTTTCTGTAATCATATGGTAGATTCTTCAGTTGCAAAATGAAATGTCTCAGTTATTTAGAACACATGGTTGATCACTTGACATTATTTAAAACAGAATTAAATGTTCTAGAACAAAATATTTTGTTATCTATTTTCTTTCATACAAGTAATTTTAGAGTCGTTTTCCTCCAGAATTCAAACAATAATTTTGTTAACTTAACAGACAGCAGATATACATGTATAGCTTTATACAGTTTCAATATGAACAAATTTAATTAAATGAACACTATAGAGCTGTCAGTAGGATGGTGTGCTCTTGATTATTCTGATTTTCTCAGTGCTTGATAAACAAGAGCCTGGATAATGTAGAACTTTTGAAGTTCATAAAGGGCCGATAATTCTACAAAAGTCTATTAGTTATGGACAGTGCCCTCCTATTAAATTCATAATTCTAACACTATCGTAATTTTTTCTATATAAACAAAGAAGGCCCGAAGCGTGCATTATTCTGCAACAATGCACTCGCCGTTCTTATTATCTCCCTGTGTATTTTCACATTGAGGGCGCCATTTTGTTTGAAAAATCTGATAAATAAAAATATTTTTTGTCGAATTTTGTTGTGAAAACTATCTAGAATGAAAGAAAATGGTCTAACTAAGAAAATAAATCCGAACACCAGTATCTTTAATTCAGTCGTTAACGCTGTACAGACGTTTAAAGTGTTGTTTACGTGACGTCACAATGTAGCGCCAAACAGCACGGGAAAAACAATCAAATCAAGTACGCTATTTTAATGTCGCAAACGAGTTAAGTTTTACATTTATTTCACTTTTAATAATTTGTATTTCGCTCGAAAAGTTATAGAGTGAAATAAAATAAACAAACAAAGTTTTGCCAACGTTTTCAAAATTCGTTATTCTCAAAATGTTATTACTCATGGTAGATTTAACGACAGTTTTTATCAACCCAGGAACAGCCTTTAAAGAACGTTTCTGGCGAAAACAAATTTAACCACCAAACATTTAGTCCAACTTTATAATAATAATTATATTTTTTCTTGACGTGTTAGAATGGAAATAGATATTAATTCTTCGTGCATTATTGTATAATAATGCACGTTTTTCGTTCAAATGCTTTGTAATTAATCACTCAGGCCTATCGGCCTTCGTGATTATATTACTACGCATTTAACTCAAACCGTGCATTATTCTACAACAATGCACTCAGAATTGATATCTATTTCCTAAATATGTGTAGTTTTGGAGATACCAACTTGCATGCAAAAACTAAACTGAAGTGTGACACACTGATGCCTGGGTCAGTCTACAGTAGCTCTCCCTATTCAATGAATAGTCTGGCTTAAAATGAAACATGATAAATTGATTACATTTCCCTCATATTAATGATGTCTGGGGTTGATATATCACTGAAATTTGAAGGTGAAACAAGAGTGATCACTGCTCAAATGTCACCTCAGATGACAGCCAATTTTAAAAGCAGTTGTAACATTGAGGGGTACGTGATTGACCATATTGGTTCTTTTTATGTCTTTTATGTCTTTACTGTAGCATTTTGTAGCTTAACTGTGTAGAAGAAGACACAAAAATAATTTACAGCCAAACTGCATTTTTTTATTCAAGGACCATAACTCAGCCAAAAATCATTCGACTCGAAAACACATTAATTTATAATGCACAAGAACTTGAATCCTGTAATTTTGTTTCACCCAAACTGCATAAGAAGAAAATCTAAAGAAACTGATTAGTCTTGACAAAACTTAAATGCACAAATAATTCAAAGGGCCATAACTCTGACAAAAATCAAGCTGACAATATGCACAACAAGACTTTATACTGGTCATTCTTGACTGAAGCTGCACCATTTGTTTTTGAGGAGCATAGTCCTATACTCTATAGCGGGCGACATACAAAGGGCATAATTTTTGCCATAACAGTTATGTGACCTTATGCCTGGCTGAAAGTATGGATTATGGTCTCTAACAAAGCAGACAAAGTTTCAAAAGGTACAAATATAAAGGTATAAATATAATAGGCAGCTAAATATTGAATTTTGAGCAGTAAGTTTTAGTCCATTTTTTAATTTATCAAACCTTAAAGTTACATTAAATAAATATGTAAAAATATTTTGCCGTCGGCCTAAAAATCAAACATTCTACAGTTTCATTAACCTGTTTAATAGTATTGTTGTAAATCTCATCAAATATTGTTCATAAATTAGGATTTTAAACGGGAAACCCCACGGTACCACTAAAGTTCGTATACGAATTTTAACATGCAAATGAAGACTATTATGAGCTCGTGTATGCGCTACGTCACAGTTTTATAGTTGCTATCCGGAACACAGCAAATGTGATATTTTCTTGTGCAAACACACTAACCGTTTAAGCTTCACGGTGCACTAAACCTGGGGTTCAGTAAAAGTAATAATCTCATTAAAAGATTAAATTTGTATGAAAACATACGTTACCATGCGGAAATATACCGTTAAATTAGGACTGCCACTTATAGTCATGTTTGTTGATTTAATATTGATGTACGGATGATCCGAAGGCGGAGTTTCTCATGCAAACAGAAATTGTATTTCCCATTTCGCCACAATGAGGTTACCTATTTTTATGCTTATAAAACTCATTCTGGTTGTTTGGACACCAAAATAAGACCTGGAGTCGATATAAAACACAATTTATTAATGAAATGTCGCTAGTTAGTTTTTTATGACATTTATTAAATGTAACTTTAATAAATAATGGACAACCAAGTATAAAATCAATGTTTACCAGTTTTTCCTTATCTATTTAGTTTAATTATTATATTTTTATAATGTAATGATCATGGCAACCTCTAAATAAATGTAAACATCATGTTTACATATTGATAAAAATCAGGAAATTATTATTGTACAGGGACTCCAGCCAAAAGTTTTCACTTCCTCATTATAATATAGAGGATATTGAATGAGTGATACTTAAAGGTTCAATTTAAACTGAATTTATTGAATAGACTTGCAAGCTTAAGCTGCGGTCTCACTTACTCCCGGCAGAGCCCAGGACCATCCCGGTAAGTTACCGGGATGATCCGGGGTGAAATTATTGTTGCGGTCACACTTACCCCGGCAGCACTACGGTAGTCCCAACTAACCACCCAGGATGCGCTCCGGATCATCCAGGCAGAGCCCAGGTGAAGCTACGGTTCATGCCGGTGCTTTCCCGGTCGTTCCTGGATGACGCCGGAAGAGCCCCGGTTGACCCAAGCAGAGCCCCGGTCGATCCAGGCAGAGCCCCGGCAGAGCCCAGGATGATCCAGGCAGAGCCCCGGTGGATTGAAAACGCCCAAAAATGATAACATTGATACATAATTATGCCCCCATTTCGAAGAAAAGGGGGTATATTGCTTTGCACTTGTCGGTCCGTCGGTCCGTCGGTCTGTCGGTCCGTCGGTCCGTCGGTCCGTAGACCAAATGGTTTCCGAGTGATAACTAAAGAACCCTTAGGCCTAGGAACTTCAAACTTGGTATGGTGATTGGTCATGACCAGTAGATGACCCCTATTGATTTTGGGGTCAAGGGGTCAAAGGTCAAGGTCACATTGACCTTGTAAGCAAAAACGGTTTCCGATCAATAACTAAAGAACCTTAAGGCCTAGGAACTTCAAACTTAGTATGGTGATTGGTCATGATCAGTAGATGACCCCTATTGATTTTGGGGTCAAGGGGTCAAAGGTCAAGGTCACATTGACCTTGTAAGGAAAAACGGTTTCCGATCAATAACTAAAGAACCTTAAGGCCTAGGAACTTCAAACTTGGTATGGTGATTGGTCATGATCAGTAGATGACCCCTATTGATTTTGGGGTCAAGGGGTCAAAGGTCAAGGTCACATTGACCTTGTAAGGAAAAACGGTTTCCGATCAATAACTAAAGAACCTTAAGGCCTAGGAACTTCAAACTTGGTATGGTGATTGGTCATGATCAGTAGATGACCTCTATTGATTTTGGGGTCAAGGGGTCAAAGGTCAAGGTCACATTGACCTTGTAAGGAAAAACGGTTTCCGATCAATAACTAAAGAACTTTAAGGCCTAGGAACTTCAAACTGGGTATGGTGATTGGTCATGATCAGTAGATGACCCCTATTGATTTTGGGGTCAAGGGGTCAAAGGTCAAGGTCACATTGACCTTGTAAGCAAAAACGGTTTCCGATCAATAACTAAAGAACTTTTAGGCCTAGGAACTTCAAACTTGGTATGGTGATTGGTTATGACCAGCAGATGACCCCTATTGATTTTGGGGTTAAGGGGTCAAAGGTCAAGGTCACATTGACCTCTTGGGTAAAAAACGGTTTCCGATCAATAAGAAAAGAACCCTTAGGCCTAGGGACTTCAAACTTGATATGGTGATTGGTCATGATCAGTAGATGACCCCTATTGATTTTGGGTTCAAGGGGTCAAAGGTCAAGGTCACATTGACCTCTTAGGTAAAAACGGTTTCCGATCAATAACTAGAGAACCCTTAGGCCTAGGAACTTCAAACTTGGTATGGTGATTGGTCATGACCAGCAGATGACCCCTATTGATATTGGGGTTAAGGGGTCAAAGGGCAAGGTCACATTGACCTTGTAGGTAAAAATGCTTTCCAATCAATAACTTAAGAACCCTTAGGCCTAGGAACTTCAAACTTGGTATGGTGATTGGTCATGACCAGCAAATGACCTTTTGATTTTGGGGTCAAGGGGTCAAAGGTCAAGGTCACATTGACCTTGTAGGTAAAAACGGTTTCCGATCAATTTACTAAAAACGCTTAGGCCTAGGAACTTCAAACTTTGTATGATGATTGGTCATGACCAGCAGATGACCCCTATTGAGTTTTGGGTCAAGGGGTCAAAGGTCAAGGTCACATTGACCTTGTAAGTAAAAACGGTTTCTGATCAATAACTTAAGAACGCTTAGGCCTAGTAACTTCAAACTTGGCATGGTGATTTGTCATGACCAGCAGATTACCCCTATTGATTTTGGGATCAAGGGGTCAAAGGTCAAGGTCACATTGACATTGTAAGTAAAAACGGTTTCTGATCAATAACTTAAGAACGCTTCGGCCTAGGAACTTCAAACTTGGCATGGTGATTGGTCATGAGCAGCAGATGACCCCTATTGATTTTGGGGTCAAAGGTCAAGGTCACATTGACCTTGTATGTTAAAACGGTTCCCGATCAATAACTAAAGAACCGTTAGGCCTAGGAACTTCAAACTTGGTATGGTGATTGGTCATGAGCAGCAGATGACCCCTATTGATTTTGGGGTCAAAGGTCAAGGTCACATTGACCTTGTATGTTAAAACGGTTTCCGATCAATAACTAAAGAACCCTTAGGCCTAGGAACTTCAAACTTGGTATGGTGATTGGTCATGACCAGCAGATGACCTATTGATTTTGGGGTCAGGTGGTCAAAGGTCAAGGTCACATTGACCTTGTAGGTAAAAACGGTTTCTGATCAATTAACTAAAAAGGCTTAGGCCTAGGAACTTCAAACTTTGTATGATGATTGGTCGTGACCAGCAGATGACCCCTATTGAGTTTTGGGTCAAGGGGTCAAAGGTTAAGGTCATCCCAGTAGATACTTGATAACCCTTATTAATTGTTTGATTACTGGGTCAGAAGTCATGCATAATAACCTTATCATATGACTAATTGGCTGCTGATTGGGGGCATACATGTTTTACAAACATATCTTGTTTTTATTTAATATAATATCTATTGTTCCAGAATAGTAATTCATGATGATTTTCTGAAAAATCCTTATGCCATACTGGATAGAAGGGAAATGTAAAGGGTTTTAATACAAACAAGTGCAATCATCGCAAATTGTCGTTATTCTTTTGAAATGATCCGGGCTTTGCTGGGGCTCTACCGGGATCAACCGTAGCTCTACCTTTATCCTCCAGGGCTCTGCCTGTGGTTACTGGGGCTTTGCCGGCATATACCAGGGCTCTACAGTAGCTTGACCGTAGCTCTACCGGCTATATCATATTCCGGATCATCCCCGGTTTGTGCCAGCAGAGCTACGGTGCTTTCCCGGTATAACCCCGGTCATTCCCGGCAGAGCTAAGGATGAAGCCGGCAAAGCTATACCTTCCCGGATCATCCCGGACCACCCCTGTGATATTAAATATTTTATTCCATCCAGGGTCGAATGCCGGATGTTCCCGGACGTTGCCGGCAGAGTTACGGATGTACTCCGGTTGTTCCCGGTTGTACCCCGGTCGTTCCCGGATCACCCCGGACGTCTACCGGGGCTCTGCCGGGATGAAAGTGAGCCTGTAGCTTTAGCATAACATTATTTTATTCAACTTGTTCAATTAATTTTAAGAAATGAAGCTACATGTATATGAATCAATATATACCGAGTATACTGAGAAATTTAACAGTTCAGTATAATCATTTTTATTGTGAAATTATTTAGCTAACATTTACAACAGTTACTGTCCATATCAACATTTCGAATTTTGCCATTTTAGACATAATTATACTGTTTTTCTCTATTATTTTGAAAAGGGACCTTATAATTTGCACTCTAAAAACTAATTAATATACAAGAAAAATATTACATACATTCGTATAAATATAGGTACGATTGCATACTACTTTTTGTGAAGACTTTTTATGTTTGCTGCATTAAAGGTGTAATGTAAAATGGTCAAACATGTCATGAGATATTTTATATCTTTAAACATTTTCATGGAATGTAATTAATGTATCATCATATTAAAGTTGCATGCCTTCAGATGAGAAAAATGATTTCAAGGAAATCAAAATATGAAAAGAAAATTCACGGTCAATTGACTGCCTTGAAGCATAATCACAGAATAAAATTTCAGGAAATTAAAAACCTTTTTAATACACTAAAGGTAGAATTTCATTGTAAGTCATAGTCGCAGATTTGAGATATGATTATTTATTCACATCAACATCATTATTGGTTATATATTGATAAAAAAAACCCGAAAGACACAGTTTGTAAATATTTATTACAATAAAATATGAAAAAAGGTATTTTCCATCCTATGCGACGCGCCAAGGTTAGCTATATTTATAATTCCCGCGCTAAGTCGCGGTCGTGCTTGGGATAATCACTTGATACTGTAAATGGCAGCCATTTTACGATACGAAAATGCCTGGCCCTCCTCGGACAGTTTATCCTGCCGAAAAAATATGAAAAAATACTTGCAATTCAAAGTTTGTTTGCTACATAAAGGTTATCGATTAACTCTTTGCAAACTTTTTCTCTGCCTGATTGTAATTTATACTGATGTGTTTTCATTGGCTTAAACCATCACGTTATCAATACACATAAAGGTGTAAACTAATTTCGTGTTCATTAAAATCATTCCGTTAATAGACATATAACAATCTTATTTACAAATGAATTGATAAAATAACAATCCCAGAAGCATTTAAGATAATAACAATCATTTGAAAAAAATAAATGCATATAGATTTTAAATTTGTGTATGACAACTCAACCCCTAAACAAAACATAATAGACTCAACCAAAACAAGCGTCTGCTTCTTAACCTAACTATGTAGTTGCATGACCATGATTAGAAATAGCAAACCAAATCTAAGAGGTAAACCTATTGTAAAAATAATACTATGACCACAGCAGATTTCGTACAGAAAAAACAACCTCTGAGGACCTTTTTAATATCACCATTTTTTGGGCCGCAATTTTCCCCTCAAAAAACATAAAATAAATAGATCTAATAATAATAATAAAAAAAATGAATAAGTAGAACTTTGCTATTTGTATGCTTAAAGCAGCACTGTATAAAGTATAGTACTGCATTTTTAATTTAGTATTGAAATTTGCTTATTTATGTATTGTATTTTCCAAAAATACATACATGTAAGACTACACATTTATATTGGTATTGTTCCTGACAGAAAAAAAATCCCCAATTTCTTCAAAATGAAGCATAATATCCCTACCTGAGGACCCTGGAGCCATACCCTTATAGTTAGGTAATTAGGGCTCTGAGCTGAGAATTTATCCGGTATCGGGTACGGTCAAAATGTACAGATATTATACACGGTTACCTGACAACTTTTATCATTTATTTAAAGTTTTAACTCTAGATAGCAAATGAAAACCTTTTGCAGTCTGCTTCATTTTCAAATAATAAAGGGGAATGATTTACAAATATTTTATTTACCCTTTGAATTGTGTCCGCACAATGATTTTTTTATTTACGAGTCCCCCCCCATGCACAGTTCTAAATCACAAATTATTCCTTACCGAAAATTATCGATATTTTAAACAAATCAAAATTCCATTTTCTCTTAATTAACTCCTTTACTGTTTGCGATGTATAGAATCATAAAATTACGACTGTCTACATTTAGAATTTGTAAACAATATAGTCCGCATAAACTTCGTAATAACATAGACTATGTACATGATGTATACAAAAAAGCACGTGTTAGGTTCATGTTAGGCTGAAAGATCTAGTTCAAGGACAAAGTACCTGTTAATTGAAATAAGCAGGGATAATGTCCTGTATTGTAACGCGTGCAATTTTTCCATCATTTTAAATTTTCCATCATTTTCCAAAACAAAATTTGCAAAAAAAAAAAAAAATTAATGGTTATATACTTAGCACGGATTTATATGTAGATTTTCTAATATATCCGTGTAATTAGCTTTACATGTATATCCACACACAGGTTCATTTTCGAGGACATTAAAGGCATAATAGCTCAACATAAGATTTTAATAGATCTATCTACATGTATTTAGTAAATATAAAAAAAAAACATCTGGTGCGGTTCGATATTATTTTTACAACAAATTTTAAAATCTTGAATTCTTCTCACCCTATATTTGTTGGGATAGATCTATGATCATGAATAGAAAATAGCTTCTATTTTTATACTATTTGTGTATTTATTTGTTTGTTTAAATGCTTGATTGTGAAATTATTCTTTTCTTTGAATGATTTTACAGCAAATTTTATAATAAAAATAAATAAATAAATAAATAAATGAATGATTGAATGAATGAAGGAAGGAACGAAGGAACGAACGAACGAACAAACGAACGATTAAATAAATAAATAAATAAAAGAAGTATGTGCCGTACGAAAGTAGTTAAATTCGTCGACTTCCGCGTAAATAAAATGTGTTTTTATTTTATTTTTTAAAATGGAATTTGAAATATAAAAACTTGCAAAACATGTTATTTGTTGTAACTATAAATGTTTTTTTCATGAATAGGCCTATATACTGGGTTATTTTTTTTGCCCCAGTTAAATACAGAATTGCAGGCTTAGAATTTCATAAACATTACCTGTTTGTTCCGAAAATAACTGCATGAAATACGTGTACGAAAATAATTTATCGGGTTGTACGTAAATAAGTTCATGTTTATGAAAATAACATTTTATGTTCATACATTTGTATGCGATAATCCAGTTATCCGATTATTGTATTAGCGCATTTGTTGCTATAAATAATCATGTGCACGTGCTATACGTTAATTCATCATTTTTTAGTCTTTCACATAGAAAGACCTTGTCCGTAACGTAATAACCTTACACATTTTCCATATTTTTTACTTACAAAGTGCATAAATTTAGTTTGATATATGTCTCATTAAATTTTAGCAGAGATGTAGATAATGTTATCTATGTCTCTGAAATTTAGTATCGGTCCTTATTTTCATACAGATATTATTCATATATACTTTTTTGTATATTTCTTATTTTTGTACAGACAGCTAATATTTTCGTATATAATATTTTCCTACAGATGTTGTTTTCGTACAGATCTTATTATCATACAGGTATTATTTACATATGTAGATCCGTTATTCGTAAATTTAGGTCCTATTTTCGTACAGATCGTGTTATTTCATTACATATTATTTTCATACATGTCTTATTCTTTTTCTGGTCCTTCGGTATCATTGATGCCAGCACTATAAAGTGTTGAGAATTGAGTTCTGCTCAAGCCGGTGCTAGGGGGCGTGAGGGATGTTGCACTTTTATCCTTCATGTACAAACTCAATCAAACCGAGTCTGCAATTCTTGTGTAATTTTGTTGTGATTAATGCTTCCGAGGGATCACTTTGTTTCCAGATTTTTTATACTTCACAACAGCAGGTGTCAAGTGCCGTGTTGCCCCGGGTACTTCACTTTAGTGTTGTTATATTTTTCTGGTCCTTCGGGATCATTGATGCCAGCACTATTAAGTGTTGAGAATTGAGTACCGCTCAATCATCTGACCTGGATGGTCAAGGTCATTTAAAGTTATAGCCGGTTACATGGATTTCAATGCTCATGAATAAAAGGAAGAACTACACTTGGATTAATTAATGAGCTTCAAAACGAGGTTTACACACAATTCTACAAGAAAGACTTACATCTTTCACGGCCCCGTCCGACAACTATCTGCGCATGCGCAGAACGTAAAGCCATACATGTACGTTTCTCACGGGTCTGACAAAATTCACGCCACACCAGTGCTAGGGCCGGGGCGTGAGGGATGTTGCACTTTTTAATTATCCTTCTTGTACAGACTCAATCAAACCGAGTGTGCAATTCTTATGTAAATTTGTTGTGATTAATGCTTCCGAGGGATCACTTTGCTTCCAGATTTTTATTCTTATACAGATCTTATTTTTGTTAAAGAGCTAGAGTACACAGCTGTAAAAAGGCTCATTTGGTCAAGATTCCTTTTACACTGTTTTAATTATATGAGCCGCTTCATGACAAAACCAACATAGTGCGTTTGCGACAAGCATGGATCCAGACCAGCCTGCGCATCCGCACAGTCTGATCAGGATCCATGCTGTTCGCTACCGGCGTCTCTACTGTAAGCGAACAGCATGGATCCTGATCAGACTGCGCGGATGCGCAGGCTGGTCTGGATCCATGCTGGTCGCAAACCCATAATGTTGGTTTTGTCAAGACGCGGCTCATATGGTTATTGTAGCTATACTTATGACTCGATCATTCTCTAGATATACATTGCTAATCTGACCGGTGGAATGATGTAAGGCGTACTGTTGGTAATATAGATGCATAAGAAGAAGAAGAACTTATATATTGTACTAAAGCCCTAAAAAGAGCCATTGACAAAGCATCAATATATACATATACAAAAAGCAGAAAACATAGCAATACGTGACAAGAAGTCGAGATGGCATGTGTATTCACTGAAAATAATTCTTTGGTAAATGGGAAAGTAGCTCATACACTTAGAGGTTGCTCACGTAAAGTGTCTTTTAAAATTACTAAAACAAAAAAGTTTCAGTAATCAAGATATAAACGAAGCGTGGTTTCACATGACATCTCGCTTGGCAGAGGCAGACTAATGTAAATATTACAATAAGACAAACCATATTAATTTCTATATACTATAATAGGTAACGAGGTTGGATGCTCCCAGATAATATGTTGATATCATTTAAGGATTTTGCTCTTTCTTAAAAAGGGGCACTATCCACAAATGATACATAGTGCTTAAATTGATACATTCGCCAACACATTTATGCCCTATCGAAATACGAAAACGAAAATATAGAACACATGATGGTAATCTGTAAATAACAACAGCATAATAAACAGAAAAATTAGGAGCCTCCATCAAGGTATCTATGACAAGGTTATCATCAAAGTACTCAATATTACGCATATAACATAAAGCAATTTGTTTGACCAAAAATTATAAAATGATATAGATATATCTATTTATATTTTATCGAGTCATCGTTTTCATTTTAGATGAATCAAAAGCTGGCTATAACATTTAAGGTATAATGTAAAACAATTTATTTTTACAAAGTATTATTGTCTTAGTAAGCATTAAACATAGCATTATGCTATAACTACATGTAAAATTGACAATCTACATTTAATCGACCTGTTGCTGACGTTTAACTTAACATTGCTATACATTGACTTTATAACATATAGTATATTTCCACTTACACCACATTGCAAAAGTTTGTACCACAATATATCCCTAACGACAAAATCGAAAGTTTTTTTGAAAATCTATAAATGCACAGTACAAATATTCGTTATCATTTAAACAATGGTTGACCTACCCATTAACAACAATTTTGTAACCATACCTTTCCTAAAATCTGCCTTAGCCTCAATATATGTAACGTTAATAATAACTTAATCCGAATTATGACATTTCTTTATAATATTTATATACATGAAAGTTTATCTGCACAACTCACCTACACTATCGGTCAATATCTGTATTTATTACAAATTAATTAACATGATGACCTTCCAATCCAAAGTAATAGAGGCTTTTAACTCCTTTATCTATATCATAAAGAGCCAGGGTAGTATCTCGAAGCTTTCGTTAGCATAACGACTATCGTATACCCCTCGTTAAAGCCCCGGTCACATATTCACGGATTATGCCACGGAAGAGCTACGGTCTAATTGTTCACGGATTACTACGGAAATGTGAAATTCCATAGTCCGCTACGGTTCCAGTACGGAAACACAACGGTATGAGTACGGAGTTCGACGGATTTACCACCGAAAGCCCCGGGATAGACACGGATTGTTACGGACTGACACGGTTTGATACGGAGCGACACGAATCAGGACGGACGCACTACGGATACACTACGGTCTGCTACGGTGTAAGCACGGGTTAGTACGAGTAAGTACGGTCTGATACGGAGAAGAACGAATTGATACGGAGAAGAACGAATAGCCACAGATCTATACGGACCTATTATATCCGTCCACAACCTCTTGCATGCTCAATTTTATAAAATGCCTCACAAGAAAAGAACACAAAGAAAACGAATTGCAGAGTTCAATGATTTTGGCGGAGAGAATTCGGCCTCATCGCGTCCGATCCCCGAGACATATCAGGTCCGATTAAAGTGAATTTCTTGAACGACACCGGATCCTTAACAAGTTAGACCATGAGAGCCTCATACTAAACATGAAGGGGTCTTCGTAAAAGCCCATCTCTAGTTCACCTTTTCTTACCTGATTATATATGGACTAGTAATCATTAATGAAAAATGTTGATCAATACTGCTTCTCTTTTGATTTGAAAATTTGCTGTTCATTTTACAATTACATTAATTATCGTGGATGTTTATGTTTTAAGAATATGTGAAAAGCTTGTTAATTAATCTTATTATCACTCAAGGGCCAGCGTCCGAGGCTTATGAGACACTTCGTTTTATGTACATATTTACTCAAATTTCACGATCCAATGTTTTGTAAAATATGTAACATTAAATGTTATTCTATTACTTTTGAATTGTAGTACAA